GCGCTGGGGATTCACTCTCTATTTGAATTGTCTTCAGTAAATATGTACCAGAGGGACCGGAAAAAGATAGTCTCGATAAATTTCGACAGTTTATCCATCGAATGAATAGCGTATCATTCTATTTTTGGAGAATAAAGGATCGTAAAAATTCACATCTGTTCATTTCTAATCCGTTATATCACTACATCTTCATACTCAGTCTATAACCCGATTATATTTCACTGAAACATATACCGCGGATATTGACAATCATTTTGGAGACATTTCCATGGAATTTTTTGCTTCCGATAACATCCTATTAATCTAATCAATCGTCCTTACATCGCGCATACGTGGGGACAAAAAAAGGGGTCAACATTGACACATGTCAAACGAACGATGTCAGTATATCCATACACGATTATAAATAACCTACTATACGCCCTAGGTTTTTCAAATGTAAATAGAATAAGTCAAATACGAGATGTAGTGGGATTTTATCGGGTGCGTTACCATAATAATTACACGAGAGATATCGGTAACTAGATTTATCCAGGTACATTTGATTTTTACCATACCCTTTCCTGATTTATATTTATTCTTAACAGCAATCTCTTTTCCCTCTCTTGAGAAAGCCCCATGTTCTCCGGTGATTCCCAACAAGGAAAATGTTTGAGAAAGATCTCCAAATGAATGGACCTCTTCTCAAAATTTAAGAAGAATAAAAGTGACAAATGGTTGAATTTTACAGCGACTTTTATTAGTCTAGGAAAAAAAAACTCCTTACACCTAGTTGAAGAAATTAAAAAAATGTTTGATCAACATAGGTCGTGATGGCTGTCGTAATACGACACGTACCGGGGTCCAAATCCGCTCTTTATTTTCTCGTTTTTTTTTTTGGTCGTAAAGATGAGAGTCAAGGAGCGTGAATAGGTAAGCGATTTCAACGAGCCGTAGGAACTCTCCCTGCCGTATATCATTTCACGACTGGCCCATTTCAAGAATGGGACCTGTAATACGAGAATCGAGTGACGCAGTGTAGACGTGGTCCATCGTCATCGTCAGAGAACATTTGTCTCCAGAAAATGACGAATGTCTAATATTAATTACGCCAATTAGACTCTTTAAAAATATATACCTGCAATTTTGCATTAAATGTTGGTTCGCCGGTTTTTTAAAATATAAACTATTGGTGGGAATTCCCCCACTAATGACGTCTCATATTTTCTAAGATGATAATAGTGGAGAAAAATTCGTGATAAGTAGTTGAAAGACAATAAACTTTTCCCCTTGTTTCCATCATCTCTCTGTCTCTCTCTCGCTCTCCCTCTCTCTCTCTCTGTATAACGACAATTGCCGGAAAAACTATTACTGTATTGTTTATTTATTATTATTCCCTTGTGTCCTAGAAAAAAATATTTTCTATCAAGTTTTTATTGAATTGTTTTTTTTTTAGCATTCCACAGCTCGGTTGTTACCGTCGGTTATCTTCTAGTATTTCTTTTACAATTGGTAATCGGTAATTGGAAAAGAGTACGACTTGTGTCAATCATTGATGCTGTAGTTTCATAACGTCGGGTTGAATTGTAATAATAAACGTAACGGATAAGATATGCATGGAAGTTTAATAGCGTAAACTTTGAACCAGCGGAAGGAAACGTGAAGTTGCCGATTAGACGTGTGTCAGTTGGATTTTCGATACGTTGATGAATAAACAATTGATATGACCAGTGTCATGAATCAGTTGATAAATTCATTACACTGATTATCGGTTCATTGAATGCAAACTATTTCCTGTTGAAAAAAAGTGGTTGGAAAACAGATTTTTCTCGGTCTATCTCAAATTCTCAAATTTCATTTTTCCCCAACATCTTAAAAACCATTTTACAACAACAAATCAAAACCCCAAGAAAAAAAAAACTCGTAGTAAATTGAAATAGGTGGATTTCCTCATTAATTAATTTAGGTGGTAAAAATAATTATTTTTTCAGCGTGCAGTAAAAAAATTGTGCATGGTACAATATGGAAATACTGTGATTGGCAAAAAACTTGTTTATCGAAAAAATGAATGGGTATATTGAGATAATGAAATTGGTTAAATAAAAGATAACGATATTTAAGAGAGTGGGGCCACCCGCAGGGGATTGTACATGAGAAATAACTGCACAGATGAAGCAAGCAAATATGCGTTAAACTCCCATCTCCTTGTGCCTCTCAACATGCAAAAATGGAATCCTCCTGTTGAACGATAAAAGGTTAGTCTCGCTCTCTCTTATAACTCGAGAAATGGCTCTGAGAGCTTGATAAATCCATTGGTCCACGCCTTTAGCTCTTCCTCACTCTCTCATGAGTTTTTGTAGTGTATGCACATGTGCGCCCGGTCAGCTCTCGGCCGATTCTTCACTCGATAAAGCTCAGACCATTCGTCCGGTTTGCTGGACATGCAACAGAGTAGAGAAGGCAAGAGAAAAACTCACGGAGGAGGAAAAATAAAGAATAGAAATAAATGAGAAAATTCCGTGAGCGGTGCGCTACCGCAACTTGAGCGAATCACATGTGCGATGGTGCGGACATCCTCTCTCGCCCTTTTCCATTTCAGGTTCATTCACACATGGAGAGAAATTATCAAAAGAAATT